CCGCGTATATTGGTTTATTGAAAAATATCTCTAACCTATCCATCTCTATTATAACCATATCCTTATCAAAAATCGTACAACTGCTAAAGTTTGGCTTCGCTATATACGCACGGGCTTCATACCTTCCCTCCCATTTGGTTAATAGTTTCACATCTTTGTATTTTCGCACGTTCTCCATAAGTTTACCATAGACGCAATTAATCATTAATTTGTAAAATTCTATTTCAAACATATTTTTCGCTTGTTGCCTCATGCGAGTGTTTAATTCAATATACTTTTTCAGCCACGGTGATTGCTTAAACTGTAATACTCTATTTATTTTTATCAACTTTAACCCATGTTGTACGTACATCTTTAAATTTCTATAATGAACTACGTAGTTGTGCTTTGGGTACAAGGTAAGCATTAGTTTCTTTAATTTTGAGTTATTTGGCACTAGATGCTCTGGGGCCAAAGGTAAATCAGAATGTAATCTGTGGCATTCCAAAGGATACTCTAAATCACAGTCTACAATATAACCAACGTCTGAATCATCAGGATGGTTTAGAATATCTAAATTTTGAATGTCATCTACAAAGGAAAAATCGCTGCAAGGCAAGAATTCACACATTGAGGCACCATAAAGGTTATTAATATCATAATACATTAAATAGGTCGTCTCCAGGTTAGGATTATATTTTTCTTTCATGTACGGGTTATTGGCCTTCGCGTATCTCATTGAACATTGTGCTACACCTCCTCTTATACCACTTTCAATAAACATCATTTGATCAATGTCACTTAAAAGTTCTAATTTAACGTCGGTGACTTTAAGCATTGCGTCAAATGCCAAACCCGGGGCGGTGTAATAATGTAACGGATCTAAGCGATAGGTACGCAAACAAGTCTCCCTAAAATTTTCAAAGATATCCGCCAAAAGGAGAACGTCCGTCATCAAATAGAGATCAGAATATTGACCTAAGGTTTTAATTTCGAACGCGTTCCAAATGTGATTCGCATGTTCATAGTCCGCTTCGCTCACAGCTTCATTTTTTAATTGACTAAAAAATGCATCTCGAGTTGGTAACACTGTCTCATTTAATTTCTCCCACGAATCAACGTAATCATATGGAAACACTCCCTTTCGAGTTAACAAATGGAATTCATTTGCATTACGACAATGCGCTCTAGTAATAGTTTTCTGCTCATTATCTAAATACGAAGATAGCTTATCTATACTACTGCTCATAAATCTAAAGGAATCGATAAATCGAAAATCTATGTTAGTGTTCTGCACATGCTTCGTGAAAGAAATATATTTTTCTTTGTTTAAAGGTAAGAGTTTAATTCCGCCAGGAAAGCCGATAGCGAGTTCTCGAATAAAAAAATGGGCATCGTATCCGCTTAAGTTATGGAAAACGACTGGTATAACATGGGAGTGGTTAAAGTTCAAATTACATGCCTGGTGAGCCGCCCCTCTGTACCGCCCCGTCATATGATGGTGATCGCGTACTTTAATTTGATCTTCGGTAAAAGGTTTCTCGCAAATGTGACACACTATAGCGTTCAAATAGTTTTGCATCTGATGAGGACTAAGAACTTCCATGGGAACAATAGTATTCACAATTTCATTTGCCCAATCGGCAATCTCGCGCAATCGTTTAATAAACCATTGAATACAATCAGGTCCTCTGTATGAAAACAATTTCGAAAGCGACTCATCATACGAACACTTAAGGTAAAAGGCAATACTAAAGGGAGTATGCTTTTGGTAAAATGTTGTGTTAGCATTTGGAAGATTGACTTTATCACATTTTTCCAAGATGCACTCAAGGTCTGAATAAATAGTAAATGCCACCTTCTCCATGTTAGAATAATGTGTGAATTTTAGAATCCTTTCCGAGTCATTAGGCAGTCGAATGGAGCACTTATTGACTTGATGACATTTAAGCGTATGCTTTTCTAATAAATCACTCGTTGAAAAGTGGTTCAGACAAATATTGCAGAAGAATTTCTTATGTCCTCTACGAGATAGTTGGGAAGATAACAACGCTGACATATTTTTAATCCATGCAAAATGATAGTAACAGTTATTGGTATTGAGGACTTTATTCCTTTGATCAGAAACCAACACCAATAAATTGATAGTTTTTCTATTATCAACTTTACCACTTAACATAAAAGGAAATATATTTCTCTTAACTATGCAATATAAGTTAATGGAGATATCATTCATGTTCTCAAATTTTTTAATATCTGTTAGTTTAATGGGGAATTTGATAGATCCACGATTTAATACTTGGTCAAAATGAGGATAACTACTTACTCTATCGGCATTTTTATTAACGGGATGCAATGCTGCGACTATTGACCACAGAAAACAAAACTGATCATTATTCTTTACGTTAATAACTGCTCTCTTAGCGGCTATAAAAGGAGGAACTTTGACGTATGTTGAAAACCCTCCCTTAATGGGTACGTACTGATTAATATTGATTTTCAGATTTACTATATCCGATAAGGCCCACCCAGAGTTCTTTTCGGAGAAATTCTCCAACTTTGTTTGAATTTTATCGAAAACGTTTTCATTGTACCATTCCCTAAGATTAGTACCGATGTCAATCGGAGCATTTTTGGTCTGGAATGTTTTCAAGTCTATAATGCTAGTTTGAGGATGAATAAAATTGCAAGTTAAAATGACGTTTACTTTTAACATGGATCTTGCTAACGCTATCTTAATTTGGCGTAAAAAACTATCGTACGCATGATTTAGAAAAATTAGGGGATCCTTATAACCAAAATTAACAATAACACCAGTAATTAAACGGCCATTGAAGCAGGAGTCTAGTGTGTACCACGCTAGTTTACGTGATCGACTTTTATTGATGACATCGATCCCACAACCCCTTTTTTTCGTGGAAAAATTCTTTAATCGCTCTTGTAACGTAGCCAAATAGCTTTTCAAGAGCGCCAAATTAGATTCAAGTCTCGAAGAATTTTCATTCGGATTATTGAAATGAACTTGATTGACAATAGCTCTTTGCAATATTCGAATGTTGGTTTTCGCGATTGAAATGTGTTTAACAATTTCAGATTTCTTTTTTAAGAGATTTGCCGAATGTCGGGTTAGGTTAACGATCTCACTGCTTATACTCGAAACAGATTCCATACTTACTATGCTGATCAAAGGGTTTTAATTATCCAAGATTTTAATCTGTGTAAATCCTAGAAATGTTGCACTCATAAGTTATCCGACACTAGTGCGATTAGCTGACCACGATCCTAGATGTCACAACTGAGATACTGCTCGAATGATACTGTATACGTAAGTAAACCTGAGAACAGGAACAAATTCTTTTTATAAGGTGTATTGCAAATGTTATTGCAG